ACCGGAAAAAAAAAAAAAAAAAACCAAGAACTAACCCCCTTTCCCCCGAGGGACCCGGCCCAAAAAAAAAAAAAAAAAAAAAAAAAAAAGGCTGCAGCAAAAGCCATGATAGACAAGAAAAAACAGACATAAGAAATACATAAATGCAAACAATGAGGCAATAAAGTGCAGTAGATGTGACAATAATAATTTAAACAACAAAGACAATTTAAGATTTATTTGTGCAAAGTATTTGAAGGAATGCTGGCCCTTACAACAATAAATTAATCTCAGGTAAAACTACAGTTGCAATACTATAAATGTCCACTAGAAATAATTGTCACTTTTCTATTATGAAAAAAAAAAGGTACTTGGATCACGTTTCTGTGCAATACCATGAAAACTTGTCATTTTTACTCATATTGACAGAATCTCACAGCAGCTAACGGCTAAAAAAAAAAACAAACCAAGGGTCAGACGCGAGAGCGGTGCAGGTACAGACTCTTACCAACGTAGTAGGGTGTGTAGCAGGGAGTGTCTAAAGAGTTGTGTGAGGTCGTCTCCTTGGCAAAGCCGAAGTCTGTGAGTTTCAGGAGAGCCCTGGGCCTCTTCGAAGAATACAGCAAGTTCTCTGGCTGCAGGAAGAACCACAGAGATACTTTACAACCTGCAGGTGTCATTTTGGTTTTTTTCTTTTATTATTCCAGATAAATAACGAGCATAACAATAAGATAAGAAACAAACCTTCACATCTCTGTGCGCAATATTGATGGCATGTAAAAATTGGATCGCTTCTCCGATGCTCTTCATGATATCGGAGGCCTCTACAATGAAGATGTTTTTTACAAATGTTAGAAGTGATCAAACATGCACATCAACACTGCAACTGTAGCAAATAAAGTAATCCAGTTGTGTGCTGTGAAGGTGATTGTAGCATTTGGTATTCTGCCTCATGAAAAACCGCTCTACCTTTCTCTGTGAAGGCCTGGTCTCCTCTGTCCTGGATTCGACTGAAAAGCTCACCGCCGTCCATACTGTAAAAGACAGACGCCACAAACGGCGTTAATATACATGGATCTACAGAACAACTTCATTAGGGGGAGTTGCACAAGAATGACATTTTATCTAAGAGGTGAAATCAAGAGGGTTTGGGTGCCACTGAAGATGATGGAAATCCTGCAGGAAGGAGTGATTTAGCACTACTTTAAGCAGATGATGCTCATTACTCGTTGGTGTTCCTAAAAGGAGGTAAATGCTGAAAAGCAGATAATGCTGAATGAATGTAAAACTTCCAAATATGGCACTGCTCTGCTCATTTTTCAAGCAAGCACTACTTCAGCATACTAGCAGTTACAAAGAATAGACAAGACGGAGCGTTTTTTTTTTTTCTAACTTCCTTTTCCCTGTAACAGGTGGTCTGTGGTTTGTCAGGCGATCAAAAGAAAAAAAAAAAGTGATAATGGGGTTTGCTCTGTTTAGAAACTGGAGTTTTTCTGTTTTCTCTTTTGTCTTCGTCAGAAATCAAATCTGAACTCAAAAATTTCAATCCAATTTCTGGAGACATAAAATGCAGAGCTCTGAAGTCTGATGCATAAAATTGGTCTGAATATAGCAGCAAATAGAAGTGTGGTCCGTTCCAGTAATACTGATGACTAAAGCGGCGCCTTTTTCTCTGAATCAGCACGAGGTTTTTGACATTAAAACAGTGTGAAAATTGTACATTTACATACACATCTGAGTCCTCAGCAGAAAAGATGGTTTAATGAGAAGTAGAGCAATGAAGTAAAAGAATATGTATTTAGTGCTCCAGGCTTATTTAGATTGAAAGCTCCATTTTGACTCAAATATTCATTATATTATCATCCATGTTATGACTAAGTGGCATCATTTGACCACAAAAGCTGAAGATATTTGGCTTGTCCAAGAGGTCAGCTGCAACTAAAGTCTTAAAAGATGCCAATTTTTGAGCGAGAGCTTATCTGAACTTATTTCACTCTGGGCACTGTTGAGAAAAAATGATTATTTTTAGTGTTTAATACAGATTAATCTTTTTGAACAAATCTTTAAACT